CACATTCATCCTTAGAGAATGATAGTATTACTCTTGTATCTTTGTTCTTAAGAATAAATTTATCAAAAATTCTTCAAAGTAATTTAAAGATACTCATGATCAGAGCAGAATAAATACTGATAACAAAGTTTAGTAAGATTTTTTTCATCTCTTGGACATAGGTTCAATCTATCTAAATTAAAATTTCCATCCAATTGTATTTCCATATTTGAATGGGCTTTGTATAATATAGGAATGTATGATAGCGACTGCTGAGGAATACCTTCATGTCAGGATTAATTGTTAGTTATGAAAGGTACATTGGCTGTTGCAGAGTTTCTATTTGGTGTAGAACCGTCCACAACCCCAGTTCCTAAAGTGCCATACAATCTCATTCAATCAGTCATCCAGTCCTGTTTGAGGACATGCTTTGCCAGGCAATGAGGATATGGAGTTTAATTACAGCACCCCTGCCCACCAGAAGCTCACAGTCTTATAACTAAAATAATACATGAAATAGATAATTGAAGTATAATATGAAATGGTCAATGTCTGAAGCATACCCAAATGTCATGAAAATATAGGACGGGCACCTAAACCAGGTGATATCTGACATGAGTCTTAAAAAACAAGCAGAAGTTAGTAATTCAGCAAAGAAGGGAGAGAGGCATTGAAAAAAACCACAGTATTTGAAGGCCAGAGAAGCTGAGAAGGACTTATTTAGGAAGTTATAAGAACTGTGGATGAGCATGTCTGAAATATTTGAGAATTAGTAATGAGACTAGAGTGGGTAGTTGAAAATGTCTCATAACATGCTAAGAAGTTTGTGTTTCATTCCTAAGGCAATAAGAAACTATTAAACAATTCTAAACAGGTAGATGCCATGCTCAGATTTTTATTTCAGAAAAATTAATGCATTTTAGAGGATGGATGAGAGTAGAGATAATGTCACAGGTAAAATTAGGATTGAATTATCCAGAAATTTGATGTGCATAATCATCCCTTCATATTCTGTCATAAAGAGTGAGATCTCTAGCTTTTCCTTAAATAAGCCAGTTTTAGTGGGCCCTTAGTTCAATACCTATGTTGAAGAAAATTCAGAGAAATTATTTTTGTTGCTGTTTGTTTCCCTTTTCTCAAAACGTAAGCTGACAAAGGGAAATTCTATATTGTTGACACTTGCAAGCATTGTTAGATACTGATGCCACTGGTTGGAGTTGCCAGAAGGCATCTTAGCATATTTGCTGCTGACACTAGTTACTCCAGGTTTAGCAAAATTCTGAAATTCATTTACTCACCAATATGAAAGTGATGTTCTAAGCATTCTATTAATCATTGCAAGAGATTCAAAGATGAAATTAATGTAATACACATTGTTCCTTTCAGTTGTTTAGATACAAGTTGTGTTCATTAGTATATTTTATATGAAATCAAATTGCTGTTATGAGAGATGTACAGATACTGTGGGAAGGGAAACTTTCATGGATGAAACATTTGAAGGATGGATATTTAAACGTGCAAAAATAAGGAGAAAAAGCTATTTAGGCAGGGAAAACTACAGGAGTTAGAAAACCTATTGGTAACAGTAAATGATTTAGTTTGGTTGGAATTGAAGTTCCTAGGTTCTATTCATGAGGACTGAACTGAGAAATAGGGGCTTTGTCCTGTAGGCAGTAATGGAAAGTCTCTTAGCAGGGTCGTGATGATCAGAACACTTTGCTTTTAAATTTTTTTATCTGTCAATATTGTAAATCAAGTGTATTTCCAAGAGAAAAGACAAAAGTTGGAGGAAACAGTTACCACAGTAGTTTAAGCTCAAGACAAATCAGTATCTGAAACAGGCAGTGATAATGGGAATGAAAATGTGAGTACGGGATTTATTAGAGCAGGAGAATATTGGATGTTGTTACTGATAAGAGGTTGGAAATGAGATTTTTGGTTGATTTAGGAGATGGTGATGCCATTCAAACATAGTATCAATAGATTTAGCAAAGAAAATCATGATATCTAAACATCTATATCAGTTAATGCTTTTTAGTTATGTTATATATGAGAGAATTGTGGGTTTCATTTCATATTTCTTTTTGTCTGCTGATGTACTAAAAGTAAAACTTTGAGTTTGGACTGAAAAGTCTATAACACTAATTATAATTAGTTAACCCCAGCAGACAAACAGCCAAAAACAAAGGTAGGTAGGCCTTCTTGAGTGGTTTGGTGAGATATTGGTGTACTTTGTCTTTAGAGATATGATGTCACTAAGTGTGGCAACCAACAAAAATGCTGTGCTCTTTTAGGATGTAAAAAAAAAAACCATGAGCCAGTTTCTCTTTTAATTTTAAGCAATATTTTAAAGGAATTTTCTAATGTTTTTGTAAATTGAAGAATCGTTCTGAACACTCTCTATTAAATACAGACATTTACCCATGTAACTTACCTGTACAATGTACCTATATTCGTAGACCTGACTTTTTTCTGTTTGATTGAAGTACAGCATATCCACTTACAGTATTGTTATGTAGACTGATTTATGAATACAGAAAAGTTTTCATATCATAGACACCTAGAAGATAATATACATTATCCCTACCTGTTATTGCTGTTCTGATAATCCAACTTATTTGTTGGATTATCCACCATCCTGTCAGCCATGGTTATGTCAGGGTCATCTGATACAAACATGACAGCCTAGGCTCACCCTTTTCTCAGGGTCAGTGGTTGGTGCTCTTCCAAACAAGAAAATGGAACGTGGACAGGCAACCCAAACTTGTCTGCTACCGCATTTGACCAGGATAGATTTGTATTGCTTTTGCTACTCTAAACACACTAAAAAAGAAAAGATGTTCATAGTTGATAAGGGCTGTTTGATAAATACGGAAACACTCTGGGAACTTATTCAGACCTGACAGATGTAGATATATGAGCTGAGAATACATTAGTTGTTAGGTTCTTAGTATGTGTTATTTAAAAATTTTTCATTTTGAAGTATATCTTTACTGAAAATAAAAGTACTATCCATTAAAAAAAAAAGTACCATCAGAATAATTATATTCAGAGAGAAGTCATTACTCTTCAGGAAAACTACAGTTGGGAATGTTGAATAGTTAGAAATGTCTGAAAAACTAATGCTGATGAAGTTCAAAGGTAATCTACTCATTATCATAAATTCTCTCGCCATTCTAGAAAACTTCAACTAAATAATGTCCACTGGAATGTTAATGTTGATTCTCTCCTTTAGTTTTTCAGAACTTATTTATGATTCTTTCTCTCATTATTAATGTCATATGCTCTTCTTAAAAAAAAAACGATGAAGCAGCAGCTGACTAGAAAATTTAAATTGTAAGATATGTAGTCCATCTCCACCATCATTCTTGAGAGTAGGAGCCTCAAATTCTTCTGTCTCCTTTAAGAAAAGAGAAAGAAAGAGACAGACAGAGAAGTAGTATCCCAAAAGAAGATGAGCCTACAAACTGGGGCAGTAGAGAAACTGACATATCAGTAAATAATTAGGATACTTTTCATGCAGTGAGAATTGGTAAGTTTTCAGGGGGACTATTACTTGCTTGTGTAGCAACCTTTTAAAACTGTGACTTTTCTTTTTTGAATAACATACCTAAAGTGGAAGTTTACGGAAAATGCCTCTATTGAACACATAAACATTCTTTTTTTTGTAATCATCTGTGATTATTAAGAGGGAAGAAATTAGCCTAAACTCCTTATAAACTGGTCTTCACATTCACTCCCCTTCTAGCCTTTCTCTACATTGTTGCCAAAATGCAAATCCTTTACTTCTCTGGTTAAAACACTTTCTGACTTTTATTGCTCCTAAGATAAAAACCAGTATCATCAGCATAGCCTACAAGGCCTATGTGGTTGGACCTCTGCGTCCATGTCCAGGCTCACTGTAGCTTGTGCTTCCTTGTGCTATCTAAATTCCACTGGCCTTCCTTCATTTCTCTTTTTTGGCCATGTGCCTCCCCACGATAAGCCCAACATTTCTGCCTGAAATTTTATACCCTCTGCTACCATATCCCACCTCCATTGCATCCCTTTGCCTGATTGACTTGTATTATTTCTTAAATTCTTGACTTAGTCATCACTTTCTCAGTGGAAACCTTCCCTGTCTTCCCCAAAATAACAATGTATCTATTAAAATGTCAGAGACACCTCTTTGAGAGTTTTCAGTTGTTATTTTACATTAATTTGAAGAGTTTTGATTAATGGATATATTTAAGAATGTTTTCCTTTCTAGAATCTAAAGAAATAATTACCCTTTTTTTATCTGATTTCCAAAGTTCTACTTTCATTACCTTAGTTGTAGCTTTTAATTACCTCTTGGAGTTTACGTTTTTTTCTTTAAGATCTTATGGTCTTTCTAAATGTTTTAAGCGAATGGATGCCTTTAATTCCTAAATTAATAGTTAATGAAACCATCAGACCCTTTTTAAGTGTAAAACAATAAGACGCCACCCTCATCAGAGAGTGTAAAACTGGAAATAATGGAAATGCCAGATAAGTTTTCTTGAGGAATGAACCAAAAGAAGTGTTTTCAACCAGTGCTAATGGCTACTTGCAATTCTATATGGAGTCCCCTTTAGCAATCACTTGCCCAGAGAGGATAGGCTTTTGCAGCATCAAATTAGAGCTGAGAAAATCCATTTGCCTATGTCATTTTCAGAACTTTAAAATAATCATGGTAGTAACAATGAATTGAAAGGAGTGTTGTACAGTTCATACGATTACCATTGCTTTGCTGCATCAGAATCACTTTCAGTATTCTTCATTTAATGAGGAAGGGCTTCTTTACATCTTTGGCTACTCATCTTCATTTCTTTTTTCTCCTTCATTTTCAAAGTTAACTTTTTTTTTTCTCTTAGAGGTGCCTTATGTCATTTAGATAAAATATTCACATGAGCTAGAAAATGTTTAGTACTATCTTCAGGGAATCCCTTACCTCTGTGAGTTTCTCTCAGACACTCAAAATTGCACACAAATAAATGTTTTCCTTAAATTTTCCTTCTCAGCTTTATTCGTGGTCACATTTCAGGAAGCATCAACATTCCATTTAGTGCTGCATTCACTGCAGAAGGGGAGCTTACCCAAGGCCCTTATACTGCTATGCTCCAGAACTTCAAAGGGAAGGTCATTGTCATCGTGGGGCATATGGCAAAGCACACTGCTGAGGTAAGTATATTCAAAAATGTCGTATGTACATATAATTAGTAATTTACCTGCCTTCTATATGAAGATTATCTAAAAGTATATTTCTTCAGGTGTTGGTCACAAATAACATGAGCTTTGAAGATTTGTGTGTGTTCTTATATGGAAGAGTTTGTCTGCCTTTAATTGAAGCATTTTTCCCTCAGTGTTCAGCAAGAGGATCAACAGTAACCATAAAAAAATCAAAATGGTAGCATAAGGCTATTTTTTTCTAACCACTTTCTCAAATTGCAAAGAAGTAGCTTGAATTCCCTCCACTGGAGAAAATCAGTAGTGTTCAAGTGTAGGCTGTGAGAGCTGGTCATGATGAGATTTGTTAGATTTAGTAATTTTGTTTACTAGAGACTCAAAGCTTTTTGATGACAGAAAATTCAGGAAGAACATCAACTTTCAGGCATGAGAAGTACATGAAACTATAAAATGGCTTCCCTCTTCCATGGCTGTGTTCTAAGCAAATTAGAAAATAAAAAGTAGCATATAACAGCCAAAAATATCTTTATTTTTTAATAAAAGACAAGTTGAAGACTATAGCTTAGTTTGAGAGCCAAATTGACTTACTTAAAAACAAGCAGGCAGAGAAGGTATCTAGATATAGGCAATGTTGAACCACTACAAGATCCTTCTCTCAAAGGGAAGAATCTGCTCCTAGAAAAGTAGCAAAGGTAACTTGCTCCCTGCAGACACATTTTTTCTAAAAGGAACATAAATAGGGCTGAGGCTTTTGTTGCGATTGCTTTTGGCATATTTGTCATGAAGTCTTTGCCCATGCCTGTCCTGAATGGTATTGCCTAGGTTTTCTTCTAGGGTTATATGGCTTTGGGTTTTAAGTCTTTAATCCATCTTGAGTTAATTTTTATATGAGGTGTAAGGTAGGGGTCCAGTTTCAATTTTCTGCATTTGGCAAGCCAGTTTTTCCAGCACCATTTACTGAATATGAGATCTTTTCCCCATTGCTTGTTTTTTTCAGGTTTGTCAAAGATCAAATGGTTATAGACATGTGGTGTTTTTTCTGAGGTCTCTGTTCTGCTCCATTGGTTTATGTGTCTGTTTTGGTACCAGTACCATGCTCTTTTGGTTACTGTAACCTTATAGTATAGTTTGGAGTTGTAACATGATGCCTCGAGCTTTGTTGTTGTTGTTGTTGTTGTTGTTGTTGTTGTTGTTGTTGTTATTTGCTTAGGATTTTCTTGCCTATATGGGGTCTTCTTTGATTCCACGAGAAATTTGAAATAGTTTTTTCTAATTCTGTGAAGAATGTCACTGCTAGTTTGATGGGAATAGCATTGAATCTATAAATTTGGCAGTGTGGCCATTTTCACAATATTAATTCTTTCTATCCATGAGGATAGAATGTTTTCCATTTGTTTGTGTCCTCTCTTATTTCTTTGAGCAGTGGTTTGTAGTTCTCCCTGAAGAAGTCTTCACATTCCTTGTTAGCTTTATTCCTAGGTATTTTATTCTCTTTGTAGCGAATGTGAATGGGAGTTCATTCATGATATAGCTCTCTGCCTGCCTATTGTTGGTGTAAATGAATGCTTGTGATTTTTGCACATTGATTTCATATCCTGGAAGTTTACTAAAGTTGCTTATCAGTTCAAGAAGTTTTTGGGCTGAGATTATATAGTTTTCTAAATATAAAATTATTTTGTCTGCATACAGAGACAACTTGACTTCCTCTCTTCCTATTTGAATACCCTTTATTTCTTTCTCTTGCCTGATTGCCCTGGCCAGAACTTTCAATACTATGTTGAATAGGAGTGGTGAGAGAGGGCATCCTTGTCTTGTACCGGTTTTCAAAGAGAATGCTTCCAGCTTTTGCTCATCCAGTATGATATTGGCTGTGGGTTTGTCATAATTAGCTCTTATTACTTTGAGATATATTCCATCAATACCTAGTTTATTGAGAGTTTTTAACATGAATGGATGTTGAATTTTATCAAAGGTCTTTTCTGCATCTATTTATATAATCATGTGGTTTTTGTCTTTGGTTCTGTTTATGTGATGGATTACATTTACTGATTTGCATATGTTAAACCAGCCTTGCATCCCAGGGATGAAGCCAGCTTGGTTGTGGTGGATAAGTTTTTTGTGTGCTGCTGGATTCATTTTGCCAGTATTTTATTGGGGATTTTTCTATTGATATTCATCAGGGATATTGGCCTGAAGTTTTCTTTTTTTATTGTGTGTCTTTCCAGTTTGGATATCAGGATGATGCTGGCTTCATGAAATGAGTTAGGGAGGAGTCCCTCCTTTTAAATTGTCTGGAATAGTTTCAGAAGGAACAGTACCAGCTTATCGTTGTATTTCTGATTTTTTTGGTTGGTACGCTGTTAATTACTGCCTCGATTTCAGAGTTTGTTATTGGTATATTCAGGGATTCAGCTTCTTCCTGGTTTAGTCTTGGTAGAGTGCATGCATTCAGGAATATATCTATTTCTTCTAGATTTTCTAGTTTATTTGCATCGAGGTGTTTAAAGTATTCTCTGATGGTAGTTTATATTTCTGTGGGGTCAATAGTTATATCCCCTTTATCTTTTTTATTGTGTCTATTTGAGTCTTCTCTTTTTTCTTCATTGATCTAGCTAGCAGTCTATTTTGTTAATTTTTTCAAAAAAAAAAAAAAAGCTCCTGGATTGGTTAATTTTTTTGGGGGGTGGGGGGAAGGTTTTTCATGTCTCTATCTCCTTCAATTCTTCTCCTAGTTATTTTTTGTCTTCTGTTAGCTTTTGGATTAGTTTGCTCTTCCTTCTTTAGCTCTTTTAATTATGATATTAAGGGGTCAATTTGAGATCCTTTTAGCTTTCTGATGTGGACATTTAGTGCTATAAATTTCCCACCACACCACACTGCTCTTCTTTCTCTCTGTGGGTCATGCCAGCCTTCTAGTCAGTTTTGATGAGAGAACCTGGATACCTTGGTTGCCAGTGAAGGATTCACAGGCTTATTTTGGTTTTTTTTCGTTGGGAGCCTCAGAACACTGCTTCTAGTCAGCCATCTTGCCGCTGCCCACTAAACCTCTTTTCTTTATAAATTACCCAGTCTCAAATATTTTTTTCTATTTATTTTTTATTTTTTTTTAATTGAGGTTCCAGGGCACATGTACAGGTTTGTTTATAAATTTCATGTTGCTGATCCTTTGTGTACAAATGATCCCTTCAGGCAGTGTAGTGAGCATAGCACCTGATAAGTAGCCTTCCAAACCATGTCTCTCTCCCCACCCTCCTTCCTCAAGGAGTCCCCATTATCTATTGTTCCCTTCTGTGTGTCCACGAGTACCCATTGTTTAGCTCCCACTTATAAATGAAAACATGCAGTATTTGGCTTTCTGTTCCTGCACTGGTTCACTTAGGATAGTGGCCTTCAGGTGCTTCCATGTTTTTTGCAAAAGGCAACTTCATTCTTTTTGTGGCTGCATAGTATTCCATGGTATATATGTCCCATACTTTCTTTATTCAGTCCACTGTTGATGGGCATCTTGGTTGACTCCATGTCTTTGCCATTGTGAATAGTGCTGCAATATACATCCACGTGCATATGTATTTTGGTAGAAGAATTTATTATCCTTTGGGTAGTGCTCGCTTTGGCAGCACTTATACTAAAATATCCTTTGGGTATATATCATATAGTAGGATTGCTGAGTCAAATGGTAGTTTTGTTTGAAGTTCTCTGACAGATCTCCACCCTGCTTTTTATAATGGCTGAACTGAATTATATTTCCACCAGCAGTGTGTAAGTGCTCCTTTTTCTCTGCAACCTCACCAGCCTTTCTTGTTTTTTGACATTTTGGTAATAGCCATTTTGACTGATACAAGATGGTATCTCATTGTGGTTTTGATTTGTGTTTCACTGATGATTAGTGATGATGAGCATTTTTTCCATGTATTTGTTAGTGGCATATATTTCTTATTTTGAGATGTATCTGTTTATGTCTATTGCCTATTTTTAAATTGATGGGGTTTTGTTGCTCTTTAAGTTTCTTATAGATTCTGCATATTAGATCTTTGTTGGATGCATAGTTTGCAAATATATTTTCCCATTCTGTGGATTGTCTTTTTTTGTTTTCTTCAGCTTTTAAGTTCCAGGTTACATGCACAGGATGTGCAGGTTTGTTACATAAGTAAGTGTGTGCAATCGTTGTTTGCTGTACAGATCCACCCATCACCTAGGTATTAAGCCCAACATCCATTAGCTATCCTTCCTGATGCTCCTCTCCCTTCCCCCACTCTCCCAACAGGCCCCAGTGTGCGTTATTTTCCCCACCCAGTGTGGCCATGTGTTTCCATCATTCAACTCCCACTTACAAGTGAGAACATGCTATATTTGATTTTCTGTTCCTGTGTTAGTTTGCTGAGGATAACATCTTCAAGCTCCTTCCGTGTCCCTCCAAAGGACATAATCTCATTCCTTTTTATGGCTGCATAGTATTCCATGGTGTATATGTACCACTAGTCTATCATTCATGGGCATTCAGGTTGATTCTATGTCTTTGCTATTGTGAATAGTGGGGTAGTGAACATGTGTGTACATGTATCTTTATTAAAGAATGATTTATATTCCTTTGGGTATAGGCTCAGTAATGGAATTGCTGGGTTAAATGGTATTTCTGCTTCTAGATCTTTGAGGAATCACCATACTGTCTCCCACAATGGTTCAACTAATTTACACTAACACAAATAGTGTAAAAGTGTTCCTTTTACTCTTCAACATTGCCAGCATATGTTGTTTGACTTTTTAATAATCACCATTCTGACTGGCATGAGATGGTATCTCATTGTGGTTTTAATTGGCATTTCTCTAATGATCAGTGATGTGGAGCTTTATTCCTTATGTTTGTTGGTTGCATGAATTTCTTCTTTTGAGAAGTATTCATTCATATTCTTTGTCCACTTTTTAATGGAATTTTTTAAATTGTAAATTTGTGTAAATTCTTTATAGTGTCTGGATATTAGACCTTTGTCAGATGG